ATTTTTGAAATCTGACTTTAAATTCGTAATCAGCGACTCCAAAAACCTCCGAGTAACGAGTTTTAAGCTAATCCGATGAATTTTTCAAAAACGTGTCCGCCATAATGGATCCGCCATTTTGAATTTTCGAAATCAGACTTTAAATTCGTAATCAACGACCCCAAAAACCCCCGAGTAACGAATTTCAAGCGAATCCGATAAACTTTTCAAAAACATGTCCACCAAATTGGTTTTTTGAGGTTATGTCAAAATCCTGATCTGATGGGGTTAAATGGACCTCGGATTTGGATTCAGCGACCCAAAAAACATAAAGTCTACATAGTGAGACTCCCAGATCAGAACTTCTTATTTTTTGTGTGGCTGTGTAATACAGCAGTAACAAATAGCGCGCTCACGCGCGCGGCAGTCGTCTCCTAAACTTTTTAAAATATAATTAGCAGTTGAAAAAATAGTATAACGTAGAAATTTTGACTTTTTTTTTTTTGTCACTCATAAACTAGAAAATTACCATGAATCTTATACAAAACCTTTAATTTTTTTAATTTCTGACAAAAATTTCTTTTGAAATAACTTAAATCTTAAACAACTGTAATAAAATAAATAAATGATTTAATAAAAAATTTTACTTACATTTTTTTTAAATTAATTTAATCTTAAAAGAATTGCGTTTACAATTTTCATAATGAATCAACTTCAAACTGTTTCTTTTTGAAATTATGTAAAATTTTTTGTTGAATGAATTTAATTTGAAATTTTAATTAACTTAGATTTTTGAAAAATTTTAATTCAAAATATTCCAAAATTAGTTAAAGGTTTTAGTGTTGCATTTATTTGATTATAAATAAGGCAGAATATTTTTAATTAAATAGTATAGGGGAGTTTGCTGCGAGTTGGTCACTACTGCGAGTTGGACACCCCATGATATTTTGAGAATGCGTAAAGTTTATCCTAGAATTTAAATTGTAAAATGTTTGCCTTATTGATAAGATACTTTTATATTTGTTTTGAAAAAAATACTTGCATTATTTGAGATTGATATAATAAAAACATTTTTTTAGGGACGAATTTTTTTTGAAAAGTGGAAACGACGTCTTTTAAGTGTTAATAAAAAGACTACTATTCATTGTTCATAAAAAATTCGTATGTATATATTTTTGAAGTAATTTTCATGCTCTTTAAGATGCAAAAAGAATTAGCTGCATATAGTGGTTACGCTGCGAGTTGGTCATAATTTATATGCTGGAGATTTCTTTTGTTTTCAAATTTAACCTATTTTATTTTTGTAAACATAAAAAAATATTTGTTTCGAAATTTATAGTTTATAATAAATAAAATACAAAATATTTTCTGACAAACAAATTTTGCATACAATTTTTATTACTAGAGGTTTTATTTAATTTTTATGCTTTTTGAGTGGCTTTTAAAAGTAAAATTTGAAGAGCAAAAAAATCCAAACTTTACAGGGAGACTATAATTGACTTATAATACTAAAAAATGAAAAGCAAAAAAATCCAAATTTTACAGGGAGACAATAATTGACTTTTAAAAATAAAATTTAAAGAGCAAAAAAATCCAAACTTTACAGCAAGACAGTATTTGACTTTTAAAAGTACAATTTGAAGAGAAAAAAAATCCAAACTTTACAGGGAGACAGTAATTGACAAAGAAAACAAAAATCTGAAGAGAAAAAAAATCCAAACTTTACAGGGAGACTATAATTGACTTATAAAACGAAAATCTGAAGAGCAAAAAAATTCAAACTTTACAGGGAGACAGTAATTGACTTATAAAACGAAAATCTAAAGAGCAAAAAAATCTAAACTTTACAGGGAGACTATAATTGACATAGATAACGAAAATCTGAAGAGCAAAAAAATTTAACCTTTACAGGGAGACTATAATTGAGTTATAAAACGAAAATCTGAAGAGCAAAAAAATCCAAACTTTACAGGAAGACTATAATTGACTTATAAAACGAAAATCTGAAGAGCAAAAAAATCCAAACTTTACAGGGTGATAATTATTGACTTTTAAAATCTAAATTTGAAAAGCAAAATAAACTAAACTTTACATTGAAGTAATGACTGACTTTTAAATTCAAAATCTGAAGAGCTAAAAAAATGTTAATATATTTAGGAGGTAAACAGTTACTGTCAGTGTAAAGTAATTGAGGGGCTGGATGCTATAATTATGTGTTACGCGTTATTCACTTAACATGTCGCGTAACACATTATAGCATCCAGCCCCTCAATTAAAAATAATTTAATCTTCACAGAGTGTCAGCCACTGTAATTCCTAATTAATATTGTTAGAATGTTTGAATAAATCTCTACTAAACGCCTAATTGGAAAAGTGTGCGTAAGTGTGCGCACGCATCGTATTCTGATATACGATGGTGAAACATAAAAGACGAATAGTTAAAGTAAATGAATCGTCAAGTACGAATATTATATCCGTCCATGGGTCAAATTGTTAGTTTATATTTCTAATAAACAATATTATTTTATACTGTATTATGCAAAATTGTGTGCTAGATGTACAAACAGCATTTCTAAACGGTCAGGTAAAATCAGAAGTATTTGTAAAACAACCATTAGGTTATGCGGATAATACTGAAAGAGTGTGTTAATTAAAAAAGGCACTATATGGACTAAGAGAGAGCCCAAGAGCTTGGTATGAATGCTTCGATAAATACCTAAAAAAATTAAATTTTGTAAAGAGCGAGAGTGATTACTGCCTGTACATGAATTACGACGAGAATGATGTAATTTATTTAATTATGTTTGTTGACGATTTACTGATTTGTGGGGAAAATAAAAATAAATTAGATAAAATTAAAAACAGATTATCTGAAAAATTTTCGATGAAAGATTTGGGTATAGTAAAAATATATTGGGGGATAAATATTGACTATGATCACAAAAAATGTAAAATGACTTTAGATCAAAAAAATTACATTGAGTCGTTAGCAAAAAAATACAAAGTTACTGAGTCGAAACTGTATTACACGCCCATGGAACAAAATTTAAGTTTACAGCCCGCGCAATCAGCGTCAACTTATTTAAATTACAGAAATTTAATCGGAGCTCTATTATTTGTGAGTACTAGTACAAGATTAGATGTGAGTTAGTGTCAACTACCTGAGTCGTTTTCAAAATTACTATGATGAATCGCACTACAAATACGCGTTGAGAATCTTGAAATATTTATATCTAACGAGAGACTTGAAATTAAGTTACAAAAAAAATTTCGATGCAGATATTATTGATTGTTTCGTTGTTGCTGGTTGGGCAGGAGATAAGGTGGACAGAAAATCTACCACTGGGTATTTGATCAGAGTTTATGGAAATGTAATCTACTGGAAATCCAGAAAACAAAGTAATGTTACCAAATCTTCTACTGCAGCTGAATACGTAGCCTTATCCGAATCTGACAGTGAAATCAGAGTAATTTTAAATTTATTGAAAGACTTTAAAATTAAATTAAAAAATCCTGTAAAAATTTATGAAGATAACTTTGGTGCCGTTGCAATCGCTAAATTCGGAAACATGACAAAAAATTTCAAGTATATTGAGGTACATTACCATTTTGTAAATGAGTGTTGTGAAAAGGGAATTATTGAAATCATTAAAGTAGAATCAGAAAATAATGTCGCTGATATTTTAACAAAGGCTCTGGGAAGAAATAAACTCAAAACATTTAGACAAGCCTTGAGAATTATTTAATTTAATTTTCTTTAAATTATTCAAAATAATAAAGTTAAAATTTTATTTGAAGCATAGATGCACTTATTTTTGTGAAAAATTACATTTTTGTGGAAAAAAAATTTTTTAATTGCTTCTTTTTCTTGAAGAATTGCTTTTGGAAAATTGATTTATTTTGCATTTGAAAGCAAATAAAGAGCAAAAAAATATGGTATAGTTAAATTTTTTAAAAAATTATGTTTTGGTGTAAACCGCGCTGAGTTGACCCCAAGCTAGCGCGGTTCTTTTATTTTGGAAACCCATGGAGCAAAAAAATCATTCTCAACGGCTAAAAATAGCATAAAAAGAGGAAAAAATAAGGCAGGGTTGATTTGTGAAGTTTAGAAAGTGGCGCCGCTGAGTGGTCTCACCTATTTTTTTGTGCATTTCGGGCCAAACGTATCGTTTTCCAATTATCTGACGTAAAACGCGCGCACTAGGATGAGATAACGAATGAAATGATTTAATTAATCTTTCTCGCAGGGAATCAGGAATGAACGGACGCAAACTATCACCAGACGAATCGCAGAATAATTCGATGTTTTCGGGGCCAAAGATAAATTTCTTTAGTCGAATGGACCACTCTGAATTCGAAATTGCCTATTTTAAACCCTCGTCCGAAGCCTAAGCTTTCGCCAGATCGTACAAACCAATTTCGGAAGCAAAGGTTACCGCCTCCACGCGGGATAATGCGTCAGCGATAATATTATCTGCACCGGACAACTTTCGCTGCTGGCGCGGTGATGATTTCTCCAATTTCTGTTTAAAAGCGAATATAAGCGGCCTGTGATTTGTGACTATCCGAAACTCGCGACCCTCGAGGAAATAGCAAAAATATTTAATTGATTCAAAAGTAGAAGTTAATTCGCGGTCAAAAGTACTATAATTTTTCTGAGTAGGTGTAAATTTTCTTGAGAAGAAAGATAACGGTCTCTATGAACCCGAGATCATCTGTTCAAGTGCAGCTCCCATTCCAAAATCTGATGCATCAGTGACCAGTCGGGTGATAGCATCTGATTCTGGGTGAGAGAGCAAAGTAGAATTAGCAATTTGATTTTCGATTTCCTCGAAAGCCGCGTTAGCCTCAGGATCCCATATGATTGGGGTTTTGTCGTTCTTTTTCGAACCGACAAGAAATTTATTCAAAGGAGCAAGCACTCGCGCAGCGTTACAAATTCTCCGTCGATAAAAATTTATAAAACCGACAAATCGACGCATTTCTGAAACTGTTGTGGGTTTCGGATATGAAAGAATCGCCTAAACCTTTTCCTCGGTGGGACGAATGCCCTGATGATCGATCATGTGGCCAAGAAATTCCAACTGAGATTGACCAAATTCGCATTTTTCGATATTTATTCGCAAACCAAAATCCCGCAAACGGGAAAGTACCTCGTTAAGATGCTGTTCATGCTCCACAGGGCTGCTGGAAGCAATAAGAAGATCGTCAATGTATGCAAACACGTAGTCTAAACCATCGAGAGCTCGAGACACATACCGCTGAAATGTAGCGCCTGCATTCTTCAATCCGAAAATCATCATTGGGAATTCGAACAACCCGAATGGAGTGATGATTGCTGTCTTGGCAACATCCTCCCTGCCAGATTAGCAGTGAAATCATGCAAATAAGGTACTGGGTATCGATCCGGTTCGGTCACAGCGTTAAGTCGACACAAGGACGCCATTCAACGTTCTTCTTCAAAACCATGTTGAGTGGAGCGGCCTAGAAACTGCTTGATCGTCGACATACCCCGAGTTGCATCCAAGTCCGAAATTGAGCCTTCGCCGCCGACAACTTTTCAGGAGAGAGACGACGAACGCGCTCAGCGAGAGGGGGACCGTTAGTAACAATATGGTGGTAAACGTCTTGTGTATTTGTTGAAATTCCCTGCTCAGGTCCTGTAACCACTGGATAATTGGATAAAATTTCGGCAAAAGGGACCTCATAATTTACAGAAGTTGTATAACTGCTAACTGCAGTTGTATAACGATGATACCTTACGAACCTCACAATCTCTCGTTAAACTAGTGACCGAATCGATCAATTTTCGTCGAGCTAAATCAACAAGAATATTATTATTGGCTAACAGATCTGGCCTGATGATTGGGTAAGGTACTGCAGCCAAACAAAAATTCCAATTAATGTCCCTCCTCAATCCAATGTCCAACGACAAACGCTTTTCTCCAAAAGTTGGAATTTTAGAATCATTTGCCGCGTAAAGAAAAATATCAGTAGGTCTGAGCCTCGAATTTGACTGTATCGGAAGAAGGGACACGTCAGACCCAGTATCGATCAAAAAAAGAAGACCTGATTTTCGATCTCTGATGTGGAGACGCTTAGAGTTTACGCCGAAACCCATAGTCTCCGAACGAGGAGGCGTTTTCAGTTTTCCAACTGTCGATTGTTATTATAATTATTATTATTTAAAACGGTTGAATACGAACACGGTTTTTTGCATTTGGTGGCTTTATTACCAAATTTATGGTGATACCAACAATTCAATTTATTATTTGCAGAACACGAGCGATTTCTAACATTTTCTGATCATTGCGAGATCGAGAATGAGAACGATTGTTTTCCTTAGAAAACTTAGTACTTAACGCGCTAACTTGAGCAGCTAATTCGCTAATTTAATTTTCGATTACTGATAATGGATTTAAACTCGAATTAAAAGATGACGTACCGACCGCGGAACACGAATTCGGAATATTTATTGTTTCATAGACTTTATCAGCTAAATCTGCTAAGTCTTGAAGATCTTCCACATGACTAGCGGCTAAAATCGCGCGAGTTGAAGACGGTAATTGGTCGAGAAACACCGATTTAATAACTGCTTCGCTACAATGCGCGTCGCCTAAACCTCGTAAACGTGTTAAGATCAACGTTGGCTTTCGTCGGTTGGGATATCTCCCTTAAGAAGCTGCCTAAGCTTAGTTTCCGTAGACACAGAATAATTAGCGATTATCCGATTTTTAATCTGAGTGTTGGTCGAATTGATAAAATGTCACGAGCGCAAATTAAAATCTCAGGATCTAGTTCCGCAATTACGTGATTAGCTTTTGTTGATTCCGCTGTAATGCGACCGTTAAGAAAAACCAATTCTATTTGCAAAAACCAAAAGGTAGGATTACTTGAAATAAACAGAGGCAATTTATGATGACGATAGTCGTCGATGCGAGGCACCTCCCGCAGATGCTCAATATTTTCGGTAACTCGATTCAATTGTTGCTGCAAATCAATTAAACGTTCATCGACGGGCGGTGGTCCGGTCGCGATCTCATCTCCTTCAACCATGATGTCGAAAAAAATTGATACAAATTAAACACGATAAAAATACGCGAGGTACCCGTCGCTCACCATAAACAAAAAGAAAATATAAAATATTCTAAATAAAATCGCGAGAGACTAATAAAAAGAAAAATAACTTTAAATTAATTTGAAAAATAAAATTCGATATCAAATTCAGCAAAGTTCCCTCGATAAATAGTAAATCAGTCGTGTTATGTTTGAATTCGATTGTTTATAATTTAATTATTATTTATTTGAAAGTTTTTATGTTTTAATCGAATTCAGACTTAACTGTATTAAAAATGGATTTTTTGATATTCTTAAAATAATAAAACACTCAGTATTTTATTAGTAAGAAATGAATGTTAAGTTCATTTTAAGTAAATATTTTTATTAAAAATTTAGGATCCCCCCTTTAAGTACGTTATTAATTCAACGTCTTCAGTTATACGGTATTAAGTTTTATAAAAGAATAATAAAAAGATGGATTGAAATAGGTTGTAAGACACAAATAATTACTCTATCGTATTAATGACATAATATAGGTTATTTTATTTGTTTCCAAAGTATAAAGTAGTAATAGCAAAAAGTACAGTAATAATTACAATAGAATTATCCCTTGAAAATATCGTACATAAGATTAGTAATAAAAATTATTTATTAAAAAATGACCCCTTTTAAAAATATAATTAACGATATAAATTCTTTAATTTTTTTTAACATAAAACACATTATTTATTTATTTATTTAACAAGTATACGGGACAAGCCCTTTCGTACATAGTACTCTTACAATCTAAAAGTTGCAACCGCAACTTATATTATACAATATTAACTGTGTAATCAACGCTAGGTAGTTTTAACTCAAAAGTCTAAAATAAACTTACGCAATGAAGAGGTGAATCTTAAGAAGTTACTATAAAAAAAGTCAACAATATTTGACATAGAATTAGCCTCTCTACTTAATCTTGTTACATAAAAGAGTGATATCCGTAGTTTATTCGATGAAAGGACTCCAAAAACAGTGTATAATTTCTAGTTGCCCTTATAGGGACAAACATATTAAATAATGATAATAAATTTGAACAATTATTTATACCATTTATAATCTTATAAAAAAGTCAAGTCATTAAAAAGAAATCTGGATGCAATTAGTAGAGTATTAAATGATAATCTCAATGTACTGTAGTCATGGGAGTATCTGTCAAATTGAACATTAATTTGTCTCGCTACAAAACGAAGAAATCTATTTTGAATTCTTTCAATTCTAATTATGTTAAAATCATAAAATGGCACCCATATTACAGAAGCATACTCCAGCAGCGATCTTACCAAAGAGAAGTAAAGAATTCTTAGTGTATTAATATTATGAAACATTGATGCATTTCTAATTATGAAACCAAGAGCTCTTAAGGCTTTTGAAATTACTTCAGATGTATATCTCCCTATATTACAAAAATATATCGCTGTCGCCGCTGTTTCAAGATTCCATCCCCCCTCCTCAAAGGTCAAAGGTCAAAGGGCAAACATAACCTCAAAACTCCGTTCCCACTCACAGGTCAAACATAACCTCAAAACCCCCTTCCCACTCACAGGTCAAACATAACCTCAAAACCCCCTTCCCACTCACAGGTCAAACATAACCTCAAAACTCCCTCCCTACTCATAGGTCACATGGCAAATATGACCACAAACCCCCCTCCCCACTCATAGGTAACATGACAAATGTAACCTCGAAACCCCCTCAAAACATTACCTTAAACCCTCATTTATATTATAATACAGGACAATCATAACCTCAAAATCTCCCCTCTCCTCTATTCTCACTCACATGTCACACGTCAAATATAACCTCAAAATTGCCCCTCCCTCTATATCCCCAAGGACAGGTCACAGGGCAAGTACACAGTAAAAAGTAAATCTTAATTTAAGAGCTGCCTTAAATTCAACACTGTCTGCTATAATGTTAAAGGATACGAAAAACGTGCGTAAATTCAACATTGACTGTCTTAAAAATGTTGCATCTTAATTGAAGGCAGCTTTCGTGCCTTAAAATAAGATTTTCTTTTTACTGTGTATAACCTCAAAGGCCTCTTGCAAGTGAAAGCTATAGTATATTCAAAACAACCTTTTTTTACTTTTATATTAATTATTAATAAATTATAATTATTATAATTAACAATAATAATAAAATTCATAATTTCAACATAGAATTTTATGTTATTTATGTTATTTATTTATGAATTTTATGTTTTTATTTTTTTTTTAAACCAATAATTATAATTTTTAAATATTATAAAATACTATTGACGTAAATTATTAAAGAAAGAAGAAGAAAAAACAAGGGGGTTGGCGCGCGAAGCGCGCAGGGGGGCGGAGCCACCCTAGTATATATATATATATATACATACTTCAGATTTTTTATTTTTATTAAGATTATATAGAATCTAAAAATGAGTAAACATGTTAATTAAAATTAAGAACACTTTACACTAATAAGCATAAACAAATACTAAGGAATAATATATATATATATATAATATATAATATATATATATATATATATTGTGACGTATAATTTTTAACTAATTTTAATTTAAGCTAAAAGTTCTGCTTACGTCAGGCAAAATCCTACGCTTTCCAACAATAATAATAATATGAAATTTAATAGTTTCGCCGTCAGGCGCCAATTAATTTTAGAGATAATTAATAAACTATAACTCAAGCTCGGCTCAACATACAACTCAACACCTCTGAGTTTCTCTCTTACTCAGAGGGAATTTTGCTCGAACAATTGGCAAGCAGAAATGCCAACGACGAGACACGACTGGCTAAATACTGGCACGACTTACCCACGACGATCGGCTCTATTCCCTTTCTTGGGCTATTTCTCTTCTCTCGGCTCTCCAGTGGTCGTTCTCTCTAAGTGGCACCGGCTTAATCCCAAGGAGAAGAAATTTTACAAACACACACAATTTACTTCAATTTACACTATTTATTCACTCAAAGGAAATAATATCACAAGCTTCACGCTCTATTCCTCGGCTCTAATCTCACAAGATTGTCTCTCACTATATGACTCAAAATTAAACTAGAAAACGAAATTTTCCTCGGCGCTACGATGTTCCGTAGAAGTCGTCTCGCGAATTCCCAAAAACGTTATGGTGGCAAAAGTACAGGACACCTGTAGCGTCCCTAATTTCGCCACATGTCGTCGTCTTCTTCATCTCCTCTTCTCTCTCACTCCGCTAGCTCTCCTATCTCTTTCTCTCTCTATACTCACCGGCCCTGCCCTCTGTCACTTTCTTCGTGACTATCTTGCCGCGCGACACACTTTCACCGCCGCTAGTGGGTCGCCCGGCAATACAGGCTTTCCAATTATCATACCGATTAGCTTTTTGGTTCGGGGATCGCTCCGACAGGTGTAGTGACGATTTACATCGTTACAATCCCCTCCCCATGACCGGTAATACTTTTAGTAGTACCGTCATCACATGACAGAAACTATTCTCTTCAACTGGCCTTCCCAAGGCTCTCTTGGCACTCCTTTCCTTCCAACTGGCAACTCTCTTACTCTCAACTGGCATACTCCTCTCTCAAACCTCACTCCCTCTTTTAAACCTCACTGACTTCCTCTTTTCTCTGATCTCGCCTTTCGTTCGTCTAGCAATTGACGTATAGCTAGGTGGCAGCTGGGAGACCCTCAAACGCCTTTGTTAAGGTCAGGATACTTTGGACTAAATCCTCGTCGTTTCCTTCTTCTTCCTTCTTCTCGTCTGTGGCCGTTTGATCTCCGTCTTTCTCATTCTCCAAGTCGAGTTCCTCACTCTGTGGATCTGGCAATACTGAAACTTCCTCGACTACTTCTTCCTCTTCTTCTCTGCTTACAGGTTCTCTCTTGGCTTGAGCGTCCCTCTCGTACGGTTTTCCCATAAAACGCGCATAAGCTCTGGCACAACGTGGACATCTTTCCACGGTGGTGTGACGTCGACAGCAATTCCAGCAGTAATCACGGCGGATAGGATAACGGCAGTTTTCGGCACTATGTCCTGGTCGCCAACAGTTGAAACAA